AGGATCAAAGAATGGCTCCGCAGAGAACATCTAAGACACTGGAAAGTGGAATCTGAGTCCAAATGTAAACAGGCTAGAGCACTGTTGAGATACTCCTAATAGGGAACTGGCTTGGAGCATAAGGGCTCTGAGTAGTAGAGATGCCAGATCAGCGGTACAGATACTAACGGGTCATGGCACTTTAAACTACCACATGTACAAACTTGGGCGTAGCGATACATCCAGATGCAGGACATGTGGAGACGACGAGGAAACAAGCCTTCATGTACTCAACGACTGTCCTGCACATGCAGGGCTGAGACACAAGATGCTGGGCTCAGCACTACTTGGGCCCGAGCAGATCAGGGAGCTGCCGGTGAGGGATCTAATTCTCTTTTGAAGGAAAACAGGTCTCTCATGAGTAAGTCTATGAGGGGAGGCAAAATGGACAATGTCTGGGTGCCGCGGGCGGTGCTTCGAAAGAGGAACGTCCCCCCGTTACGTTATGTTATGTTATGTTATGTGAAATGTTTTTTTCGGCGATAAACACAGCGTAACAAATTTCTGCTGCTTTCTTTCACTCATCAAACGACTCAAATTCTTTTTCTAATATATCTGATTCGCTTGTTTTTGAATTGCTTTTTTCAGATATTTTATGTGATTCAGATACTGCGTGACGATGAATTTGTTGTAAGTCACCAACAATAACAATTTATTACAAAGTATACATTTTTATTACAAAGTATACATGCAAATGAAGATATATCATGTGGCACTTCGCGTAGCAATGGCTTATATAAATCTATGTCCAACCATTGTTGTCGAAATTTTCTTTTTCTTGATTTTCTTAGTTCCGTCAACAATGTACCTTTTTTCTCTTTATGACATTTAGTCTGTGCATGTCTTATAACATGCGACAAACAGCACGTAAAATTTTTTTTACACACACGGCAATGAAAAAGGCTTTCGTCGTTATCTACTTTGCTTATCCAATATTTAAATCGCTCATCATTAAGCCTAGCTTCTGAGAAACTTTGTTTAGATTTTTTACTTAATGGCTCATACATTTTTTGTGTAAAGAAAAATAGACAAAAATGAAGAATCAAAGAAGAGGAAGAAGACAAAAAATAAAAGAGATAATTTATAGAAATCGAAAGTTTACTTGGATATTTTCAATACAGCAACTAAAGATAATCACAGTAATAATGACGAACTGTCAATGAGAACTCAGCATTGTGTTATGATATTATATGAATTATATGATATGTTGACAAAGCATACGAATAAATAAATATGACCCGTGAGACAAACGAATAAGGAAGAAGTGTGTTAATAGAGATTTTCGGCAGACGGCTAAGAATTCAAAAAATCGCGATAAACATAGACATAAATAATAAACGGCAGATTTTGCGATAATCACAAATGCAACATAACAATAATTGATACACGGCGATCTAAAACTTATGAATTTATATGCAGAATCTCTTGATGTTTTTATTTCCCTAATAAACATAATTCTAACTCTTGAAAATTATATCTAATTTAATACTATAATATTGTCATTAATTTAACATATATAAATGTAACAAATTGTTTGAAATTTTAAGTTTTATATTTGTAAGTGGATACATAAATGATACAATTTGAGACATAATTAAGATTGCAACATAATGTACATATCTTTATATTAAACTTGCACTTTGTTGCAATATTGCAAAATAATTTTCCATTTTTCTATTGACAATAGCAGTATTATTTCTAAAATTATTACTTATACATATGCGAATATTATTAATAAATATAAAATAATATTTTTTAGCCAAAAAAATAGTATCTAATAATTAAAAACAAATGTTGAAAAAGGAAAAAAAAGTTGCTAAAATCAGGTTTTGAACATGGGACTTCTAATACTCTGGGCACTCGCCTTACTCGATTAAAAAACGCTTGCTTTTCGTATTTGGGGTTCGCTGTATCAGACCGACACTGTCGGCTCGGTGGAAGGGAACCGGTATATCCATCTTTCTTGCGCGTATATCCGTCCACTCTCTTCTGTTAGTCGAACGGCCAAACGCACACAGACGCGTGACGTAAGTAGTTCATGGTTGTGTTGGAGAAGCCAGAGTATGCACTTCTGGCGACACTGCTGCAGAGTTATTACTCAGTTCAAAGGCCCTAATAGAGAGCTCGCCTTGAAGCGAGTGAGTGAGGAAAAGCTTGCGACGAAGTTCTTTTATACCGCTTTGATCAATCCTCGATCGCGAGAGAGCCTTACACCGCCTGCGCAACCTGGTGGTGTATCTGCAAGCTCAGAACTACCCCTAAACTACCCACTAAACTCCACCCCCGTTGCGTAGCCGTCAGTTGCCGTTTGTGGGGGATGGCCGGGAACCGCAACGCATTACATCCGGCAACCCCCCTCCCCCCCCCCCGACCTGCCGGTCGCCCGACAACAGCAAAATATGTGTGGGAGGAAGTTCCCACACTCCCCCTCCACCCTCGATGTAAAAAACCCCTTGGGCTGTGGCCCAACGATCCCGCTTACGGGTACGGACAGAGACCAAAGTCCCCCCTCAATCCGAGGGGGGGGGTGGTCCGACACTGCCCGCCCCGTAGGAGACTCTCCCCCTCCCTTCCGACTCCTCGGGCTCGATTTACCCGGGGATAATTGAGGAGCGGAAAGGGCGCGAATCTTTTGGGGCTGGAGGGGAGAGCTGGATTCCCCCCCCACTACTCCTAG